TTTTTTATTATGGAAGGAATTCATGTTGGTAGAAAACCAATTAAATCATATAGCATAAAATATTAAAGTCCCAACCCCCACAGTATATAATATACAACAGTTTGGTGTCTTTTCCTCAGGGCATACATAGTGTATAATACATTTTGCTTTATGAGTGTATAAACACGTATTTTAAGCAAAAATGGAGATAATAATGTTTCTCAGCACACTTTTTTCAATTATTCCCATGTCTGCTCATGAAAATCCACCTTCTTCTCTCTAGTGGGCAGAACATATGGATGGGGAGTAACTTATTCAATTGGTTTTTATCAATGGTTGTTTAGGTCGTTGTTCCAATGTGAATGTTGGAGGCCAGATAGTGTGTTTTAATTTGCTGGTTAAAGAAAATGGCTGCTCCACAGCCCTTTGTGGCTCTGGTTCTGTGGGGAGGATAAAGGCTTTTTGTCCTACAATCCCGTGGGTGCAGGCTCAGCTTCGCCATTGTCCCGCCTGGGCTGGGTGAGGGGCCCCGGTTCCTGTGCTGCCTGCGGACCCCCAGCCCTGCCCTGGAGGGAGGCAGCTCTTCCCAGCGCTTCCTGCTGGTCCCCAAGCTGAGGGAGGAGGCCGCACTGCTGATCCCTTTATGACAGGAGTCGGCAAACCTGATTTTAGGTCCTGCAGGCCCTGTGGTCTCCACCGCAGGGACTCAGCTCTGCCGTGAGAAAGCATCCGTGGACAGTGCAGGTGCCGGGGTGTGGCCGCGGCCGGGAAACGGTCTGGCCTCTGCCGTGTGAATTTCATGTGTCACCAAACAGTAACCTTTTGACTTTTCCTCCAGCCACTGGACAAGGGTGGAAACCCTCCTCAGCTTCACGCAGGAACAAGCAGAGGCACAGAGTTGGCGCCCGGATTACAGAACGTGCGCTTCTGATTGTACAACAGGATTTCTTCAGTTCTTGATTTTGATTCAGCCGACTTGGCTGTGTCTGTCATGATGTCTTTGTTCCTCTAGTGCAGCGGTTCTCAACCTTCCTAACGCCGCGACCCTTTAATAGAGTTCCTCATGTTGTGGTGACCCCCAACCATAAAATTATTTTCGTTGCTACTTCATAACTATACTTTTGCTACTGTTATGAATCCTAATGTAAATATCTGATATGCAGGATGTATTTAGGCGACCCCTGTGAAAGGGTCCTTGGACCCCCAAATGGTCGCGATCCACAGGTTGAGAACTGTTGCTCTAGTGAGATTTCAGTGCTGGAAGGAGAGCCATACCCTTAGCTCCTGGCAGCCTGCCCGCCTGCAGGCCCCTCTCCCGTAGGGTTGTTGTTGTTTTGGTTCCCTTACTCCCATCTTCCCAATGGCCAGCATCCAGTGTGTTGCATGTGTGGTTCTTCACTCTGTGCGATTCTTTTCTTGTTGTTGTTACTGTTTAAAATTTATTTTTCCAGGGGTGGCTCTCATAAGACGTGTATTACTGGGTTTGGTGGGACATCTTTAATTGATGGAGGTGGCTCCATACACCCTGTCCATCTCTTCTTTGTCCCCCAAAGAGCTCACTTCCAGCTCAGCAGCCCCAGTAAAGGAGGGACTTCCCATCTTTGCGAGGAGAGCGCCCTCTTCCGTTTCCTGCAGGAGATGAGCAGAGGGAGCTTGCCGTGGGCAAGACCTCCTCTTCTTTTAAAAAAGAAGTTTCCTGGGGTGGTATCATGTTTGGAGCTTGTGTGTATTTGGAAATATAAATGATGATAGGCCCAGTGCACAAAATTCGTACACTGGGGGGGGGGCGTTGTTACTCAGCCCAGCCTGCACCCTCTCCAATCTGGGAACCCTCAGGGGATGTCTGACTGCTGGTTTAGGCCCAATCCCACAGGAATCGGGCCAAAATCAGCATTCGGACAACCCTCTCACAATCCGGAGCTGCTGGTTCCTAACTGCTTGCCTGCCTGCCTGATTGCCCTAACCGCTTTTGCCCCCTAACCACTCCCCTGCTGGCCTGATTAACACCTAACTGCTCCCCTGCTGGCCCGGTTGCCCCCAACTGCCCTCCCCTGCCGGCCTGGTCCCCACCAACTGCCCTCCCCTGCTGGCCTGATCTTGCCCCCAACTCTTCTTCCCTGACAGCCTGATTGCCCCCAACTACCCTTTGCTGGCCTGATCTCACCCCCAACTGCCCTTGCCTGTCAGTCTGATCGCCCCTAACTGCCTCTGTCTGCCTCATCACCCATAACTGCCCTCCCCTGCCGGCCTGATCTTGCCCCCAACTGCCTTTCCCTGCAGGCCTGATCTCACCTCCAACTGCCCTGCTCTGCAGGCCAATTTGGTTCTGATTGGTGGGTTTCTATATCAGTCAGCGTCAAAAGCTCTGCCTCCTAGGCAGCCATTGGCTCCTCACAGTTGACCCAGATTTGCTTCTGTATGGTCAGTTTCTATGCTACTCAGTATCAAAAGCTCTGCCTCCTAGGCAGCCATTGGCTCCTCACAGTTGACCCAGATTTGCTTCTGTATGGTCAGTTTCTATGCTACTCAGTATCAAAAGCTCTGCCTCCTAGGCAGCCATTGGCTCCTCACAGTTGACCCAGATTTGCTTCTGTATGGTCAGTTTCTATGCTACTCAGTATCAAAAGCTCTGCCTCCTAGGCAGCCATTGGCTCCTCACAGTTGACCCAGATTTGCTTCTGTATGGTCAGTTTCTATGCTACTCAGTATCAAAAGAAAGTGATCTTGAACCTCTCGGAATGTTTGTCAAGCTCTGTTCGCGCTCCCCTAACAGGGTGGGCCTCTAAGCGGATTTCAGCACCCTCCCCACCTTCCCTGGCACACACTTCCTCCTCCCCCACATTCCCCTACACACTTCATTGTGATAGAATAAGAAATGCATATTTGGCCTTAGCTTATTTGGCTCATTGGATAGAGCATCGGCCTGCGGACTGAAGGGTCCCAGGTTCGATTATGGTCAAGGGATACATGCCCGGGTTGCGGGCTCAATCCATAGTAGGTGTCGTGCAAGAGGCATCCAATCAATGATTCTCTCTCATCATTGATGTTTCTATCTCTCTCTCTGAAAAAAATAAATAAATAAAAGAAATGTATATTTGGTCTTTGTCCCCAGTTCCTGGCACAGAGCTCCTATAATTCCTTGTAATTTCCTGAGTGATTGGGTGAGAGCAGGTTCCCCCCCACCCCAATAATAAGCCCTTTTCAGTCATAGCTGAATTGATGCTAATGAGGTGATGAGGGCTCAGAGGTTAAGAGGTTAAGAGGGCTGGAGGTTGTCAGTTACTAATGGCCAATGATGGAATCAATCGTGCCCAACAATCAAGTGTAGCCTCCATCCAAGCCCTGCTGTAAGGGACGGGCGGACACGGGGAGGCGCTGGGAGAGGGCGTGGCCCTGGGCCCCTCCCCACATCCTTGCCCAGAGCATCTCTTCCATCTGGCAGTTCCTGAGTGTTATCCTTCTGTTAAAAGCCGGCAATACAGTAAGTAAACGGTTTTCCTGAGTCCTGTGAGCGGCTCTAGGAAATGACTGAAGCTGAGGAGGGGGTTGTGGGAACTCCCAACGCACAGCTGGTTGGTCAGAAGCTCAAGTGACAACTTGGACCTGTGATGGCACCTGAATTGCGGGGGCAGTCTCCTGGGACTGTTTCTTTACTGGAGATGATCATAGGGAGTTTGCAGGCTGGGCTGGGGCTCCTTACAGGTCAGGTTCTAGAATGTTCCCTGTGAGGACTAACCTCAGCCTGTCTCTGGTCTTTCAGTCACAGGCCGAACTGAAACCTGGAGACCTGATTGAGATTTTCCGCAAATACGACCAGCACTGGGCCGTCTACGTGGGGGATGGCTACGTGGTGCACCTGACGTCTCCAGGTGAGGCTGGTTCTCCGCTGAAGCTCAGGGCAGAGGTGGGAGTGTTAGCGGCAGCACACCCGTGCGCTGTTCTCACCCAGTGCCTGGCATGGTGGGCACTCCCTGGCCATTGGCTGCATGATGTTCCCTGG